CATAATTCATAAGATTTGAAACTATAAACAGGACTAGTTTATTAATTAATCCATAACATTGGAAAGTATCAACAGGACTAACTTACTACATAATTCATAAGATTTGAAACTATAAACAGGACTAGTTTATATGTAATTCATAAGAATAAGGCCTTCCTACCGTATTAAACATTGAGTATCTTTCTAGTGATGCCTTGAGAGGAGTCTTGTTTGAAGGTGATTATAACACAAAGTTTCGTCAAACCACCGCTCACTAAGCCTTACTTGCGGGTTTTAGCAGCAGTTATTTGTGCAGCTGATATAAATGTTAGGTTTAACTTGTTCTACTGCTCTGAGCATTACCTCACTCTCCGTAGATAAATTTTCCGCTTAAATTGTTGTCTCATTTTTACCTCTGAACCTAATGATTTTATGTACAGATGTAAATCGTTAATTTAAAGAACAAAATATTTTACATGAAATAAAACACAACGATCTAGCTAGGCCTAGTCAAGTGAACCTTGTCACTTCGGGTTTGATTAAACAAAAACTTAATAGCTCCCAAACGGATGATTTAGATTTCAGACGTCCATTAAGATAACATAAATTTATAAAACCTGAAACAGGTGCTCTTGGTCTTACACATCTGTGAAGTTATCCTTAAGTAATAAACTATGAAACCGATGTTTTTACTCAATTATAAATTATTTCTCTTCATTCTATCTCCGGCTTATATACTAAAAAAAAGAGGGCGTCTAGCAAACGCTGGGACAACGATAAGTCACGATCCTTCTAGAAACTCCAGCGCGCATGCTCCCAGCGCCGCGTGACTTCCGCTGTCGTAACATTATCTTTACAGAATGTAATTAAGTTTGTGATATGTACGACATATCTTTACAGAATATAATACTCCTATCACCTACATAAAAAATATCCGAAACCGGTGCTCTCAAGAAGAAACATCCGTGAATATGACCTACATAATTTGTGCTCGGAAACCGGTGTTCTCAAACTAGACTTGTGTGAAAATAACCTAGAGAAGGAAACTTTGAAACCGATCTTCTAAAGTTTGAATAAGTGTACAGTAATATATATTAGAAATAGTTCTGAAACCGATATTTTAAAGTTTGAACAAGTCTACAGTTAATCTATTAGAAATACTTCTGAAACCGAAGTAGTAAAGGTTAGACGTTCTCAAAGCTAATTATAGAAATATAAATGTTACTTCAGATCATATCAACAAACTTTGTTATGTTCGACAATCAAAATTCAAAACCGATGTCTTCATTCTCTTTCAGATAAAAAACAAATAAATTTTGAAAACATAGAATGATGCAGTAATCAAAGTGGAGTGACCTCTACTGACCACGTGACTACTTCATTTTACCGGAAATTCAACAGGAAAATAACAAGGAAAGCGTTGCGAAGCTGGTTTAAACAGACAAACAACACACGATTCGTAATGATGCTAATCGTGTTTGTTTGCGAAAAAGTAACGTGACGGTTTTATCTTGTTTGTTTGTAATTAAGCACAAAGCTACACAATGGGCTATCTGTGCTCTGCCCCCCACGGGTATCGAAACCCGGATTCTAGCGTTATAAATCCGCAGACATACCGTTGTGCCACTTGGGGGCCATGGTTTTTATCCTATACGATTGGTCGGCCTGATTTTTAACTGTTCTGATTAAGGTAGCACTGCCTTTTAAAGAGCGCCCCCAATAGTTGAAAAATAATATTTAGCCTAAATCGAAAGTTTAACATCTTTTCTATATAAATAACTCATTTTTGTCTTAACGGTTATTTACTCAAAACGTGGCTTTCGCTGGGTTCACCAATGATAACTTCGCCATTAAAGCCAATATCAGCATGAAATTTAGCCCCACTCTTTGATATTACACTCTTCCATAACTAGATTTTTTTAAATTTAAAAATCTTTACCAATTGTCTTCTTAATGAAGGCATTAATTAAAATTAATTATCCATAGCTCGTTAATGTTGCAGAAAATCTGCAAAGTTTTTAATTCAAGCTATGAGAATGTTAACAAATAGCATGTGTATCAATTGTCATGTTTTTTTATCTTTCCTAAGTAAAGTTATGGTGTTAAAACAGTTTAGGTTCTATATTTCTTAGGGCTAAGACAATTTAGGTAATGTATTTCTTGGTGTTAAAACAGTTTAGGTTCTATATTTCTTAGGGCTAAGACAATTTAGGTAATGTATTTCTTGGTGTTGAAACAGTTTAGGTTCTATATTTCTTAGGGCTAAGACAATTTAGGTAGTATATTTCTTGGTGTTAAAACAGTTTAGGTTCTATATTTCTTAGGGCTACGACAATTTAGGTAATGTATTTCTTGGTGTTAAAACAGTTTACCTTATGTATTTCTTAGGGCTAAGACAATTTAGGTAATGTATTTCTTGGTGTTAAAACAGTTTACCTTATGTATTTCTTAGGGCTAAGACAATTTACGTAATGTATTTCTTGGTGTTAAAACAGTTTACCTTATGTATTTCTTTATGTATATGACATATATATGACTGAAAGTATACTTTCAGAGACTGCGTCATCATACGTTTGTTTTGTGCTCAACTTGATGGTTATTAGAAGTGTTTCCTCATCATGTAAATTTGCCCAGTTTTAAGAATGAGTGCTGCCTTAATTATACAGGCCTGCGATGGTTTTTGCGTTAATTATACAGGCCTGCGATGGTTTTATTGTCTTGAAATGTTTACATGTTCTACAGTAATTCCTGTACACTGAATCCTAAAATGATATCCATTTTTCTCCATCACATACAGATTTTTCACAAAACGTCACATGTACTTTTACATAAGTGAATCATTTTCATTGAAATCGGGTCATATTTTGTTATACTTACAATGTTGACAACCACTGGCTACAGATTTCTCTAGATCAATCACGACGTGAGAGTCTTATTGACCGTTCTAGAACTCACGAGAAACACACCACTAGTATATAAACGGTTAACAGGCCGCATGACGTGTCATTTCTGGATAGTATTTGTTTGTGCGTGCACTTTGACATTATTTTTTTTTCTTTTCAATATTATTTATCGCTATGGCAACAACAGGTTGTGTAAATGGCCCAAACATATTCTGTTATATTTGTGTTAAATTTGTTGTAAAGAAACAAAGGCAAATCATTAGAGAATTCGTCAAAAAAAACGTATTACGCGTATTTTGGAATAAAACTTGTGGACCAAGATAAATCATGGACTACACACAAAGTCTGCACCGTTTGTGTCGAAGAGTTGAAACAATGGACTAAGGTAAATAATAAGTCTTTGCCTTTTGAAATTCCAGTGATCTGGCGTGAGCCTAGAAACCACGGAGATGACTGCTACAACACTTAAAATCTGCTATAAGACCTGTTGCTCATGGACCTGACGTACCTGTACCTACTTCACGGATGCTCTTGATACAGTTTCAAATGATTCTGAACCTGATGTCAATAGAAATGATGATAGGGAGGGTTTTCAACCTGACACAACTTTTCACACAAGGTGAACTTAATGATTTGGTGAGAGATTTGGGCCTTCCAAAGGATTCTTCAGAGATTTTGGGGTCCAGACTTTGGGCTAAGAACTTACTTTCTCCAAGGACATCATTTTACTGGTACAGAAATCGTGAACTTACACCATACTTTTCACAAGAAGGTTCACTGGTTTATTGTAACAATATTGCTGAATTAATACCAATGCTAGAAGCTGCAGTCTATGAACCAAGTGAGTGGCGATTGTTCATTGATTCCTCCAAAAGTAGTTTAAAAGGTGTACCCCTTCACAATGGTAACATATATGCATCTGTTCTTATTGCTCATTCTGTTCACTTGAAGAAAACATACAAAAATCTCGAACTTCTTCTTAATAAGGTCAAATACAAAGAACATGATTGACTACTTTGTGGAGTCCTTTGTATGTTGTTGAGTCAACAATCCGGTTATACAAAGTTTTCATGTTTTTTGTGTGAATGAGACAACAGAGCACTAAATCAGAACTGGATAAAGAAGCAATGGCCACACAGAGTCAGCATGATACCAGGATCGAAAAACATTGAACGTGAAAGTTTGGTTGACACACAGAAATTCCTATTACCTCCACTTCACTTAAAACTAGGTTCGATGAAGCAGTTTGCAAAGGTCTTAGACAAAGATGGCGACTGTTTCAAGTATCTGTGTGGGCAATTCCAAGCTCTATCAGAAGCGAAACTTAAAGAAAGGATTTTTGTTGGGCCTCAGATTAGGAAATTGACTTCAGATGAACAGTTCGAAAGGACAATGAGGAAAGTTGAAAGAGAAGCGTGGATTGTCTTTAAAGATGTTATTGACAAATTTTTAGGAAACAACAAGTACTAAAATTACGAAACTATTGTCAATAACATGCTCGATAAATTCAAATAGTTGGGTTGTAATGTGAGTTTGAAAGTTCATTTCTTACACTCACATATTGACTATTTCCCTGAAAATTTCGGTGACGTCAGCGAAGAGCAAAGGGAAAAATTGCATCAATACATCAGGGAAATGGAGAGGATGTATCAGGGAAGGTGGAAAATCAGCATGATGGCTGATTATTGTTGGTCATTGAAACGAGATGTTCCAGACGCAGTACATAAAAGAAAGACCACAACACGTAGTTTAGAGACTAAAAGACGTAGATTTCACACATACACACAAATCAGGATGAATGAGGATGCATATTCGTTTCACATCAATGTTCTTCCCTTTTCTTCAGTTTGTATTTTTGTTAACAAACACAATAATAATAAAAAAGTTCATTGTGGTAAACGAAATAACAATTTGATCTAAGTAAGAGTTTTTCCCCGATTTGTAAAAAAATCTTTACGTGATAGAAAAAAAAGCCCCCCCCCCAGTGGCACAGCGGTATGTCTGCGGACATACAACGCTAGAATCCAGGTTTCGATACACGTAGTGGGCAGAGCACAGATAGCTCATTGTGTAGCTTTGTGCTTAATTACAAATAAACAGAAAACAAAATGAATATTATTTTCGAAATCTGCGTAGCTGGAATTATGGAAAATCATTTATTAAAACTAAAACAACTTTTATGAGGTTTAAGTTCGCAGGCCTGTGTTATAAGCTCAGAAACCAATCAGATTACTTCTAACGTAAATGATAATAAAAATACGCAGGTGTTGTTTAAAACCTGTAGTTCATGAAAATAAAAACACACAGGTGTTGTTTAACACCTGCAGTTCACGAAAATAAAAACACCCAGGTGTTGTTTAATACCTGCAGTTCACGAAAATAAAAACACGCAGGTGTTGTTTAACACCTGCAGTTCAAGAAAATAAAATCACGCAGATGTTGTTTAACACCTGTATTTCATGAAAATAAAACATCCAGGTGTTGTTTAACACATGTAGTTCATGAAAATAAAACACA